CACCGCACGCTGGTGGAGGAGCTCAACCGCCGCCTCTTCTTCAACACCGTCGGCGCCGTCGAGAACATCGGCTTCCGCGCGCCCACCACCACCTCGCCCTCCGCCTCGTCGTCGTCCGCGTCCGCGGCCGCGCGTGGTGGCCTTGACCGCGGCATCAGGAGATCATCAGGCGGCAAGCAGCAGCTGGACGATAAGCATCAGTACTTCATCCTTTAGTTCCAGCAGTATGTCCGATCGAGTTTTTGTGTTTTTTTTACCCATTAATTACGTGGGATGAGAGTACTGTATGTTAGTATGTACATACATGCAGCTGGGGAAAATGGCGAATGAGAACTGGTTCGGTTAACCCATGCAAGCAAAAATATGTGTATATTTTCAGGCTTAGCATGCCACTGCTAAGGTTTTTACAAACTTGCAACATATAGTCTGTGACTCTGTACATATTACTGTTCCAGAAGTACCTATAAGTTTTTTTTTTTCTAAATTAAATTCCCCGTATACCATAAAAAATATAGTGCTCCCCTTATGTCAATATAGACCGATTTGTATACTTAATGTCATTTTAAGATTTTTACAAAAGCTGTGACTAACAAACTGACAAGAGTATATGGAAGAAACATTTTTAAAAGAGCAGTGATGTTAGATGAAACAATTCATGAATTACATAAAAAGAAAAAAAATGCCCTATAAAGCAAAATGGGCCTGACGGCCCAACATCACAGCCGGAGGCATGAGTATACATGAGTAACAAGCAGCCTTTTCTCAAAAAAAAAAAAAAAACAAGCAGCCTAATAACAGCCCACACATTGACATTCGCTACTCTCTACGACTCTACCAGTGGCACGCTAATATTTATGTCTTATCTGATATCTACTTTAATATTTATGTCATGTATGACACTGTTGTTAATTGGGCTGTATAGTAGCAGTGGAAGGATGGATTTACCCCTACAGTCAATTTGATTTTGTCCCAGCTTGGATTCTTAGCACAACAATGAAACTTTTTTCACCAACTGTGTCATTTGTTTCACAAATATGTAAACGTCACGTTCTCATTTTGTTTCCACATCAATGGCAAGATTTATCTTCTCTGTAGTCCCAGTTGGCAAAACGAAGCATACATGATTGGTAAATATAAGAACATTTTTGTAGCATAGACAAATGAGGATCACAAGATATTGTAATAAAAATATATAATAATAATATATATCATCAACCATCACACAACTATAACAAGTTGAAGTGTTGAACACAGCTTGATTCCATAGATGCAAATCAAATTTGTTATTTTCATATGAATTTTTGCAAAACGAGTTTGAATCTCAAATTTTGTCACAATGCATGTCTATAGATGCACTATTGGTATGCGTAGTTTCAAAATTTTTGAAAACTCCTAAGTATGGTTTTAATGGGGTTTTCACGGATTGCACTGAAGATGTGGTTTGCACGGAATATTTTGCCGGTTCAATAGCACATTTCAACAAATCAAAGCCAATACATGAGGCCAACATCTGGCATATGTTCAACACGGCTTGATTACAGAGAACATGTTCAACACAGCTAGGTTCAATAGTACATGTTCAATAAAGCCAATACATAAGCCCAACATCCGGCCCAACACATAGTTGACAAACTGATCTGAAACACAACATAAGAAGTTCAACACAACTAGTTCGGAACATGATCACATAAGCCCAAGCATGATTCACCAGATTCAGTAAAAGGTAATAAGTAGGTATAACTAAGCACAAAAGCACATGCTGATCACTATTGTGCTCACTGCAGAGCTAGAACGATCAAGTTTCTTTGCTTCTAATGGCCATTGCAGGTCTGTGAAATAGCCTTAATTTTAGCTTGCTTTTTCCTTAACACCCATCATTAAAAGGGGCACTCCTGAGTTCTTGCTTTGGTGGTCTCTATCTTCTTTGGTGGTCCTCTGCATAATAAGCAAAAAAAAAAAAAAAAAATCCCATATGAAACTAGATAGAATGGACCAACAAAATCAAAAACCAAAATTTGCAGGACCTAACATCACACCAGTTGGAGGCTTGAGTACAAAAGATTAACAAGCTGGGTGTTTTAATTAGCACCCATGGCTAGCGGTGTAGCTCACAAATTGCTTACTTTTTGGTAGTGGAAGCAGGCGGATGCCATTCCCCTGTTGCGCGCTTCGCGATGCTGGCGTTGGAGAGCATGGCCCAGAGGTGCGTGATGAACTCCCCGCCTTTGGCCAGGTGCTCGATGTGTGCCTCCGCGTTCTCAGACGGCACGACGTACAGGATTGTCTCCGCCCAGAACTCTGCAATGAACCTCCAGCGTACCTTGTCGTCATCGATCATCTCCAGTTGTCGCCCCAGCTCAACACCCTTGTGAAAGGTCGTCTGCTGCTCCTGCTGGTCTGGTAGCTGTAGCCCTCGGATCTTGGTTCGCTTCTCCTCGTCCTTCATTGGCTTTGTTCCTAGTTCTTGCTGTGCTTCCTGCAAGACTCTTTGAAACACTTGTTTGGTGGTCAGGCTGTGCTCCGGGAGGAACTCCGGAAGAAAGGCCACTAGGTAGGCGTAGTACCTTGACAATGTTGTGGCAACTTCATGGAAAGTGTCGGTGTCGGCTAATCGGGGGAACCCTTCCTGCTGATCACAATGGCGCAGTGACATGTCACAGACAGTAGCAGGTTGCTATGTGCCATATGAGGATGGTGTCCGTGTGAGTTTCTTGCTTGCAGGTCAATAACCAGTCATAACCAGCACTGCCCCTGCTTATCTCGTCCCTGTTTATCTGATCCTTGTTAATCTTCAGAGATCTGGTACCGTTTGTTGGCGGGCCATCTATATCTCGGAGAGTATCGGCAACCAACTCTCTCATGTTGTCCAGCTGCAGCATATCGACTTCTTCTTCTACTGGGAGATGATTGATGAACCCAAACGATGGTTGGGATAGCACAATTCTGTGGAACCAGGCTACAAGTGCCTTCTTGGGAGAGCGATGACGGTTGTAGTCTTGGAGAATTGAGTATTGGCCTATTTTGTTCCTCCAGTAAGCACCACCAGTTTGAGCTTGAAACGGGTCAAAAACATCCTGCGCATTAGGATTAGGCCTAAAACGGATGATGATGAGGCGGTCGTTGGGGAGACCATTGAGTTTTCGAAAAGCAGTGTGTATTGGACGCCAATAGATGGCCAAAAGATTTTTAACCAGCACCGACATTGGGGTCTCAAATAGTGTACACGATGACATAAACGCTGCAATCGCGATTGGAATGGCACTAGACAAGACTGAAATGATCATTGTGAATGCCTCCATTAACTTTTGTGCAGCATCAATGTACTTCAATCCTGATTCTATGATTGGGAGCGAGGCGGTGAAGAAGTAATCGTGAAGGAAAGCAAACTGCACCTCAGCAATGGTGAATGCCCCTCTTGTAGCCATCTGTTGTTCTCAGGTCCGCCAGCGCAAGACGGCCGGTCAGGGGCGCGCCCAGGGCGGCGACGACGCCAGCGCCGTCCAAGTCCCAGCATGTGGTATGTAAAAGCCTAAAAGGTAGCTATGGAAGGGAGAGATGCAGCAGCAGCCGCTGCAGCTACCAACCTGCAAGTGGCCGTTGGTTCTTGGAAAGTTGGAATTGCTAAGATTTCCTCTATAAAGGTTACACAGTTCGATCTGTAGCCTTATGGTGAAGTTGCGTTCTTGTTTTTTGGTGGTGCCTGATTTAGTTTATAACTTGTTTAGAGCTGTGAATAAATCATTTGCTTATCATCTTAGACTGCCTTATGTGTTGCTTTTCGTCTATGATGAAGAGAACCAGAACCGGACCATCATCGTTTCGTGGTTCAGTTTTCGTTTTGTTATTATGACCATATTAGCAGTTTTGTGTTGAATCGAGTGTGGGCAGATTGAACATGATTATCCCCTTGCGATGGTACGTAACAAAGATCATGCTGGTGACTATATATAAACTTTATTTTTATTTTTTTATGAAAACTTTATTTTTTTATTTGCCTGGTCATAAAAAGTCATCATCTCAAATGTGCCTGGAGTACTATCCCCAAGTCATTTTGCACCCCATTTGAGATTTGACTAGCAGCGCTCTCCAGTTTGTAGGTAGCAGTACTGTAGGTGTAGTAGTATACAACTGCTCCACCAGTTAAGCGGTGCTCATGTCTTGGGCTCTTCAATTTCTGAGAAATTTGCTCTCCTTGTTCTCTGCTTTCTTGTTCAATGTGTATGGTAAGTGAATGTTGCTTATATGTAACACTTTGGTTGCAGATGAGACCATGATATTTTGATTCATATCATCCCTTGCCTAGGTACACTGAAATTCTACGCCACGCCAAACCTTGTTTGGCTGCACACTGTATTCACCTCGATCCACTTCAACACACGTGGACTAAGGTGGATACGGGTGCAGCCAAACAAGCCCTAATGTGGACGATGAGCATGGAACATGCAACGATAGGTCGTATTCAGGTTGCCAGATCCGACTACCATGGTCCACATGGACCAATGATGTAGTGCCTCCTGAAGCGCTACATGGAATTGATTGACCATGTCTTAATGTTCATCACCATAAGGAAACAATTATTACTGTAAAACTTGGTGAAGCGTGTTAACCTCTGTAGAGGCCGCGTCTATGTGTTATATAGCGCCCTGAGCTGACCAGGCGAACGTCTTGTACAGACTACAAACCAACATCCTGAAGATCAGCCAGAGTTTACAACATACTTATGTTATCTATATACTAACAACTAATATCTATCTTGTACAACAAACACTAATGTTGGCCAATGATCAAGTGTCGGTTCTCAGTTTATTACATGATATAAGAGATAAACACGGACACACAAATCTTCATTTCGTAAAGAAAACCATGGCAATATGTAATACTGGTAGTAACAAAATTCAAAGCACTCCTGAACAGACTTCTCTCCCACTTCCATTATTCATACATGCATGCATTGGCTAATTTTAGTTGAAGCGCCGACCATCGCCTTTGCTTCATGCTTGCTAATCAGTTTGTGTTTGTCTTGCTCTTGCCCATGTAGCAACAAGGACATATACTTTGTCGTACAACTTGTCCGAGAGTCGAAAGCAAGCAATTCTCCAGTTTCTCTTGAACAACAAAACACCAAATGCAATCCATGTACCAACCACGAAGCCGCACCCGAGTCCAAGATAAAAGAATGGTATCCCATAACCTTCTTCAGTTCTTCCCAGGCCACCTTGCTTTGGTGCATGACGCTCACTCGAGCAATTGTTTTGAAGAGGATGTCCACAAAGACCGATGTTGCCAATGTACATAGATGGATACTCTGCATACAGGGTATCAAGCTGTACTCCCGATGGAATTCGTCCAGTAAGATCGTTGTATGATAATTCCAAGTAACTTAAGAACGTCAGATTTGACAGAGTGGCTGGTATTTTCCCTGAGAGCATGTTCCTCGAGAGGTCCAATGATTGCAGTGATCGCATTTCCCCGATCCCCTTTGGAATAACTCCAGTCAAGTGGTTCCTTGATAGATTCAAATTCACAAGCGCATCAAGAACAACTATTTCTTCTGGAATTTCACCGGTTAAGTCGTTTGAAGATAAATCAATGCTCGTCATACTTGTATCCTCAATTCTTTTAACGGAACCATAGTTCAATTCCTGCCCCTTCCAGACCGTAGACAAACTATTAAGACGAGAATCAAGTATTGCAAGGGCTTGAAAACAACCCACCATGGATGTGTTTGCCATAAATTTAAGATTTGAAAGGTAGATCGGCAGAGAGCCTGATATTTTATTGTTATTTAGATCCATGTACTGAAGGCAAGCAAGGTTTGTGATGTTCATTGGAATGCTACCAAAGAACTTGTTGTGACTTAATCGTATAACTCTTAATGATGTTAAGCTTCCAATCCACATTGGCAATCTTCCAGAGAATTTGTTCCAAGACAAATCTAGGTACTCCACATTTGTCAAGTTTTGCAGAAAAGACGGGAACTTTCCTGACAAACTATTGTTACTTAAGGCTACAACTTCCATATATTCCGTTAGGCACAACGGTGGTTCTCCCTCCAAAAAATTGTTGGATAAGTCCAACACAAATAATTGCTGATATTTACAAAAAGATTCAGGAATATGACCAGTGAGTCGGTTGGAGAACAGAGAAAGCTCTCTTAGATTGGCAAATCTAGTAGCAGAGTGACCAGTGAGTCCTGACAAGAAGTTGTTGGACAAGTCCAAGTAACTTAAGTTTGGTGGCAGCGTGGGTATCTGACCAGTTAATTTGTTTGAACTGAGGTAGAGTTGTAGAAGTGACATGGAGCCCATATCAGCCGGCAAAGTTCCATTGAGTTGATTGTTGGAGATGTTCATGAACCAAACATTTGAAAAGGCATCGGAGAACCATTGTGGAATCCTATCAGCTATACCTGCACTCGAGATATCAAGATGGGTGATGTTCACATTCCACTGAAGCCACCCAGGAAACAGTGGGCCCATCTGGCAGGATGCAAAGGATACATACTCTAATGTAGATGGTGGTTGCCAGTCCGAGCTGATCTCAATCTTGAGGGCATTATATGACAAGTCTATATATTGCAAGCTCCTTGCACTAGCAAAGTGTTCCTCAGTTATCGTGCCATCCAGTTTATTTCTCTTTAGATTCAGATGGGTCAGATTACTAAACTTTCCAATCTCATATGGGACATGTCCGGTTAGGTTGTTCCAACCTAGATTCAGAACAACCAAGCTCATGAATTGCCCTATCCATCTTGGTAACATCCCGGTTAAATGGTTCCAACCGAGGTCCAATTCTTGCAATTTGTTGGGTGAACATCGAGGTAGATTCCTAAACAGCTCAGCTACGTCGCCATATAAGTGAGTGCTTTTAAGGTTCAGGACCTCCAAATTGCATAGGTTCTTCAGATCCATGGTCATGCTGCGCATGTTCTTGTCATCATCTTGATAATCATAATCATAATAAATATCTGAAAGATCAAGGACTTGCAGGGATGTCATGTCTCCAAGAGCATCCGGAAATTGACCGTACATACTAGTGGAGCTGAGGTAAAGGAATCTAAGGCTTGTTATGTTCCAGAACCAGCTGGTCACCATTGGATGGTGGAAGGAGTTCCCGGATGCATCGAGCTCCTCTTTGTAAGGTTCAGGTGTGACAGCAACTGGTTTGCGCTTGCAAGAGAGCAGCCTGAAAGATGGAGGGCCCTCAAAGAAGGAAGCATATTCATGACACGAGGCCAATCCGCTACTGTGCTGAGGTTCACTTCATCCAAGTAAAGATATTGTATGGAAGGAATGTGTGTTAACCATGAGAGATCCGTCGAGTTCATGCTTCCCAACCAGTAGGAATTGGAAAGATCTAGATACTGCAGCCTTGACAAGTTGCCAAGCTGGGGAGGCACGCCACCGTAGAATGGTATGCCAAAGAGGTCAACATACTTGAGATTCTTTAGAGAGCCCAAGAACTCGGGAAGACGACCCGTTGGCCCTGCTAGATCATTCCCGCTGAGGTCAAGGTGCTCTAGGTGATCCAGAGCAAGCAAGGAAGGACTTATCTGGCCGGCCAAATCTGGTCGGAAGGGGCCTCCACCTCCAAGTCGAAGCTCGTGGACGTGGCCAGTTCGGTTGCTGCACCGGACGCCTCTCCACCGGCAGCAGTCTTGCTCGTCGTGGCGACCGTCTCGCCGCCACGAGCTGAGGACGCCGCCAGGGTCGCTGGTGACGCCGTGCTTGAATGCCAGCAGGGCGTCCCTCTCGTGTGGTATGCAGCTCGGGCTCGCTCTGTTACCACCGGCGGCTGGCTGGAGCTGCTGCTGCTGCTGCGTGGCGAGGAACAAGCAGCAGCAGCAGAGCAACACGAGCATGGCAGCAGCTAGGCGATGCATGGTGGCAACCATCGACAATAATGTCGCTATGGTGGCAGGATCAGTTCTGGAGTCATTGGATCCGTTCTGGAGTGTTATAGTAGACGGATGCAGAGGATACTGCAGATGGGTCAATTGACCGTGGACTGAGGTCGTCGGTCACCTTCCGTGTAGAAGCGGTCAGGCATCTGCGTACTGGCCCACGTGAAGGCCCACGCGCACTCCTCCTCCGACGCGGATTGGATTGGGTGGGGAAGGCGGGCTTGACTGCCACTACAGTACAGTACTCCTCCGTCGGTTATTCTGGGTTCATGGATATCGGCCAGCGTCCCGGTCATGGATCGGTCGTCTCACTCTCATCTGCTGCCTCCATGGGTTTATGTGGAATGATCCATTTAGCTTCCTTCGTTCATGGATATCTGCCTCCAAGATTATGTGGAATTGTCCATTCAGCTTCCTTCCTTCGGTTTTTCTGGGTTCATGAATATCTGCCTGTAAGATGGGCTCATCTGCTGACCGACGACCTCAGTCCACGGTCACCTTCCGTGTAGAAGCGGTCAGGCGTGTGTCAGTGTGGTCATCATCGATTCGATTATTGCCTCTGCCTCTCATCCCCTCACAAAAGCTTATTGTACGTTAGTATAGTACTCCCCTTCGTGCCAAAAGAAAAGATGTTCTCACCTCTCGATAAGTTAACTTTTTTTTTAACTTTGATCAAATATATATATAACAAAATATTAATATTTATAATACATAATTAGTATCATTAGATAAATCCTTGAATATATTTTATAATAAACTTATTCGGAGATATAAATACTGTTGAGATGGTTTGGACATGTGCAACGGAGACCTCCAGATGCACCGGTGCGTAGTGAAATCCTAAGTCAGGATAGTAACGTGAAGAGAGGCAAAGGAAGACCGAAGTTGACTTGGGTAGAGGCAATAAAAGGAGACTTGAAAGGATGGAATATACCCAAAGACTTAGCCTTAGATAGGAATGCCTGGAAGACAGCTATTCACGTGCCTGAACCTTGATTGCTTCTATTGGGTTTCAACTCTAGCCTACCCCAACTTGTTTGGGACTTAAAGGCTTTGTTGTTGTTGTTGTTGTTGTATAAATGCTGTTAATATTTTCTATAAATCTAGTCAAACTTAAAAGAGTTTGATCAGTACGCATCCCATCACGGACGGAGCGAGTTTACAGTACTAGTCTCACTCTCATCTGCTGCCTCCATGGGTGCCTCCTCTCCATCTGTTTGTTTCTATGGTCGTCAGCAAGGGTTCATGTACTGTCTTTTTGTTTACTTAATTAAGGTGTATGTTTATGGTAACAACCACTACCAGAAACTGGGTGTTTGTCCAGTGCTAAAATGTTTGCCGAGTGCATTCTATCGGGCACTCGGCAAAGAAGTTATTTGTCGAGTGCTGTCATAAAAACACTTGGCAAAATAATTGCACTTGACAAAAAGGCAAAAAAAAACACTCGGCAAACGAGAAAAAAAACACTCGACAAAAATGAGGCACTCGGCAAAGTCCACATCCGTTAGTACGTGGGCCGTCCATTAGTACGTTTGCCGAGTGTCCATTAGTGGAAACCTCGACAAACAAATACACTCAGCAAAAGAGACAAAAAACACTCGGCAAAGGGAGGCACTCAGCAAAGAAATATGTTTGCCGAGTGCTAAACCTGTGGCACTCGGCAAAGAAATATATTTACCGAGTGTAAACATGTGACACTCGGCAAATAATTTCTTTTTTTTCTCTTCTGACCTTGAAACATTTTCTACTCTCCACATACAACATGTGGTATTCCATGTTAAAATTTGGTATATTTTTGGATCTCTTTGCTATATTTAATTAATTTATTGCATTTCTAGGAATTTTTTGATATAAGTCAAATTTGAACAGCAAGTGATTCAAATAATAGAATAAAATGAGTAGAAAAATGATATTCATGTTATTGAGTCCAGTGTGAGGCCTTACCCAGGAAATGAAAAGAAATTTCGAACATCTTGTTCAAAAAACACGACCACGAACGTGTGGCCGATTGGTTTTTAAATTCTAAAAAAATAAAGGGAGTATGAAAATCATGAGATTTGTCATGATGTGATGATATCATATATGAAGGCTGTGGTAAAAAATTGAGAAGGTTTCGCATAATTTGTCAGTACGATGTTTACAAACAGAAGCATCTTAGAAGAAGGATCGTAGCGTTGAGAAGGATTCGATAAGATTTGAAGTCAAAGTGACGGTCGAATTGGGGTTTGGCTTCAAAATTTTTTATATAGGCAATAGAGAACATAGATTGTTTCACGCGAAATTTTGGTAATTTTTAGATCTGTTTGATAATTTTAATTTATTAAGTGCAATTATAGAATTTTAATTGATATAGATTAAATTAGAGCTGTAACTGCCTAAAATAATGGAATAATATTAGTAGAAAAATCAAATATATATTGTTCAGTCAATTTGACAAGGTATTTTCAAAGTACATCGAAAAAAACACGTTATGGAAAAGAAGGAAAATGAAAAAAAAGCAGGGTTTGCCGAGTGCCCCATTTCACACTCGGTAAAGCTTGGCTTTGCCGAGTGCCCCGATCCAACACTCGGCAAACCTTCTTCATTTCTAGCCCGGTGCTCCCTCACCCGCACACATGCACATACGCAAACTCACCCGCACACACGCACCTTTCGCCCCCACGCCGCGCCGCACCGTCATCGCCGGCTCTCGACGCCCCGCCACCGACACATCTCGCGCCCGCATCGTCGGCTCCCTCCCGCGCCGCCGGTCTCCCGCCGCTAGCCTCTCACGCCAACGCCCACGACCGCGCCACGCTCGCCCCCTGCCCCCGGCGCCACCCCTGCCCTCGGCCCATGCCGGCCCCTGCCCCGGCCCCCACCGACGCCGCCCCTACCCCCAGCCCCCTACGCCGCCCCCGCCGCTCTTCAACGTGTCTCTTCACCAGTTCCTAGTCGGACCCATCGCCGACGACGAGCACCAACACAGGTACGGCGGCCCCTTCTATCCCCAGAGTATGGTCCGAGCGCCCATGACCTTGATGGAGATGTGGTCATGAGTGTAACGTCCCGCCTCTCCGAGGACGGGCCCGCTTACATCTGGCAGCTTCTCTAGGATATAGACTGCCCTCACAGACCAACACAGGTCTTTTCTGCGCACTTTGTCCTCACTCGTGCGCACCCGGGAAGGACTTCCCGGTCGGTCACCCATCGCTCCAGGCCAAGCACGCTTAACCTCGGAGTTATTTGCAGATGGGCTTCCAGAAAAGAAGTTGCAACTTATTGGTATGAGTATCCTATTAATCCAGTTAAGCCCTAGGCCGGGATGTTACAATGAGGGCGGGAGGAGGCAAGAAGCAAGCCCGGTTCTGGATTGGCGACGACACAATTGACACGGCCGATACTCCCACTCTCACCTAGCTTTGAGCATGGAGCACGAGTTCCAGCCCGGCGATACGCCCACGGCCAGACTCTACACGGTTCCAGATGCACGCACTCTAGATTATTTCTATTTTATTCATCGTTCATTGATTTTTACATACTTTTGCATTGCATTGTAACATTGGAATGAAATATTATATGCTCAGTTGTAACAAGAAACGAGGCTCCGAGAGGAGCTAGAGGTGAGGATGGAGGTAGAGCGACAGAGGATGGAGGCAGAGCGACTGCAGATGTTTGAAATGATGAAGGGTGTTTACGCTGCAATTGGTCAACCTCTGCCATCGATGCCAGTCCCTCCTCCTCAACCTGCTCCAAATACTATTTCCGGCACTGTGAGTCACTTCACAACCTTATAATCACCGTTTCTAGTTTATGCAGAATCAATCATTTCTCCTTTGTGATGTGCTTATGTTTCTAGTTTCTATTTTCTAGTTTATTTCTAGTTTGTAGTTAACCTTGTAATCATTATTTCATTCTCAATCACTATAACTTAGCTACTTTTAGTTTCCACAGAATTAATCACTATTTTTAGTTGCTAGTTTATTTCTAATACTTGTATGTTTCGTTCTCGGTCACTGTGAATGATTTATCTCTTCTCCTTTGTGCAGAATCAATCTGCGGCATCGAATGAGCCTTATGACCGACCATGGTCACAGTGGTCACCGTGGTCACAGTGACTACGTTTATTTGCATTTCTGATGAGCCTGGAGAGCGACTGTGAACAAACTTACTTGTGAATCTGAATTTTTTTTGCATTTATGATTGTGAATGAACCTACTTGTGATTCTGAAGTTTATTTGCATTTAAGTGTTGTCGATATATCTATATGAACTGCATGTGATGCTTATTGTGAACTATCTGTGATGGATGTAATGTTTATTTAAGAGTGGTACGTTATATGTGACTGAACCAAATAAACTAGATATATATGGTATCTTTGCCGAGTGTTACACTCGGTAAAAGGGCTATTTGCCGAGTGCCATGCTAAATACACTCGGCAAAGAGGCAACGTGGCAAAAATCTGTGTGTTCTGGGCCTAAAATGGCCATCTTTGCCGAGTGTCACTGTGACACTCGGCAAAGAGGCCAAAATCTAGGCCTAGAATAGCCAGTCTTTGCCGAGTGTCTGGGATGTGACACTCGGCAAAGAAGCCATGTTTGCCGAGTGTCAGGTCCTGGACACTCGGCAAACAAGGGCATGTTTGCCGAGTGCCCAGGCCGTTAGACACTCGGCAAACGCGCCGTGACCGTCTCCGCGCCATCACAATGCTTTTTTTTGCCGAGCGTCGGTTTTAGCGCTCGGCAATGCCGAGTGTTTTTTAGTCTTCGCCGACACACGGCAAAGCTACTGTTTCCGGTAGTGAACATCATGCTGCTGACTATAACTTTAATTTTTACGTCTAGTCATAAAGTAATCTCAAATGTGTCTGGAGTACTACTGCATCTCAAACTCATTATGCACCTATTTTACTGGCACCTCTCCGGTGCGTCGTCAAGATTAAGGTACCATGCATGTTCGTCACTAGGCAAGTAGGCAGTGGAACTCCTGCTGTAGCAGTG